TTTCTACCAAGATACAACACAATTCACAACTCAAAGCCTCGTAATTCATTGCAACTTCCCCTTCACCCATTCCTCAACCTGCTCCTCAATCTCAGGCACATACAACCACCTCATCTGTCCCTCCCCCTCTTCAAACCAAACCTCCTCTCGCGGCAACTTGGCCATCTCATCACTCGGAAGCCTCTTATTATTCAACATCTTGGTCAACCCAACCAACCTCCCCAACCTCTCCCTCCGAATCCCCTGCCAGAACCCAACGCCCTCCTCCCACCCAATCTTCCCCGAACTCTCCCTCACCCTCTTCACCACCAGCGCAAGCAAAGCAGCATCCTCCAACGCCATCGAAGCCCCCTGCCCCGTCGTAGGCGGGATCGCATGTGCCGCATCCCCCAACACCAAAACCCTCCCCCCACCACCCGACGAAGCCCACCTCTCCAGCGCAGGCAACATAAAAAATGGCCACACATTCATCGTCTCGTCCCGGATCCCCTCGAGCGCAGACCGAACCATCCCAGGCCACGCCTCCTCATTCAATCTTAATCTCGCCTTGAGCGCCTCCTTATCCGCCATCAGCGCCTCCCGCGGCAGACTCGCCTTCTCCGCGTCAAACGGCACCTGCGTCCCGGCAAGCATCTCCCCGCCGTCCCGCCCCTGCGGCGCCAGCACAAACACCCCGTTGCCGCTCGCCACGCTGACGGGGAATTTGTACTCCTTGTCTGCCGGCACCCGCAGCTGCGCCGTCGGCACCGCGTACGTCAGCGCCGCGAGCCCCACAAACGCGGGCTTCGCCTCCGGCGCCACATAGCTGCTCCGCACCCGCGAGTGGATCCCGTCCGCGCCGACGAGCAACCCAGCCCTCCGCCTCTCCCCATCCGCGAACTCAAACTCCACCCCATTGTCGTTTTCATCAACCACTTTAACAAACCTCTTGCCATACCGCACCTCCACTCCACGCGCCCGACACGCCCCCGCGAGAATCTCAATCAACTCCTGCCTGAAAATCCGCACGGCGTCGTAACCGAACTCGGCCTCGCCGCCGAGCGGGTACCGGTCGACGGTGACCTCATCGCGGTCCTTGTAGTAGACATAGTCAAAGCTGTACGCCTTCTCTAGGAGCGGCTCGTAGACGCCCAGGGATTCGAGGATGCGCAGGGCGTTGGGGCAGAGCATCATGCCGCCGCCGGCGTGGTGGGGCAGCGGCACCGCGTCGCGAGACTCGTAGATTGTGGCGTGGATGGCATGCGCGTTGAGGGCGAGGGCGAGGGCCATGCCTGCGATGCCGCCGCCGATGATGGCGACGTCGTCGATGTTGTCGTGGAGTGGTGTTGTTGTGGTGGGCATTGTGAATGATGTTCTGAGTGATGTCCCGAGTGAAGGATACATGTGTGACAAGATAGAGTGCGTTGTGTGACTTGAGGGTAAAAATTCGTGCGCTGTGTGCTAATCTGAAAAGCGACGATGGTGAGAATTGCTTGGTGTTGGATTGCCCTGATATCCTCAACGCAACATTGAGCAGACTACATGGACCTTTATACCCATCCAGCTTGACACCCCGACCTGCCGAGCATTCCAAAGTCCATTTATTTCTCATACTTGGTAAGCCAAAAAGAACACATCATCGTCCTTCAAGGGCGCCCGCTTCCATAACCAATCTCGCCATCTCACCAAGAAAGCCACACGGCCGCGCCCCCTCCTCCGTGTGACCGGACCCGCCACTCGGCCGAGTAACATACGAAGTGCCCAATCCAGTAAAGCGTCCTCCGTGCTCCGGGCCCCTCCTTCTCCGCATCCGTATCCGACCCCTCACCAGACCCGAGCCGCCGAATCGCTGCTCTCCCTCCATCTCATTGTTCACCCTGCGGCCCAAAATCACTAATCACACACAGCTTCGGTTTGTCAGAGAGAGCGGATTACCTACTTATGTCCCCCCACCCCGAGTAAGCACTATCCTCGCTATGTGACTACACCGAAGAAGAAAGAAAAAAAAGGATCAACTTGCCTGCCCTGAACCATCCTATCCCATAAAGTTGTATACTACACACACACCCATGGGGAACAAGACTCATACTCCCAAATCCCTCCCTCCAGACCACCCCCAACCGGAGAAAAGGCGTCAACGTAAACCCCGAGCTCCCCTAACTTCACACACACACACACACACACACACAGACAGCAATCCAGAAGGGGGGGCCACAGGGGAAACTCTGAATCGTTCCATCTCACCTTCGAACCTCTCGGCGGAGCCGAGAAACCTTCTCTGAAGGTTAGCATGTACCTGTCCTTATAGCAAACACCGTGAACAAACCGTCTCATATCCTTCTTCTTCTTCCTTCTTCTCCCTCACACCGTCCAAGCATCATCACCAACACCACACACCACCAAACACATACTTTCCTCCCCACCTTCACTCGTCATAACACGTCAACCAAACCTCCCTTGCAAAGAAGAAAACTTAGAACTCAGATCCCTCCCCCTTCCCTCCCTTTCCCTTCCCCGAACCCCAGCTCGGCCGAGTGGGCCCGATTTGGCATCCCACGTCCCACCGTCTCCTACACTGTACTTCATACTCCGTCCACGGCACAGGTAACTGCAAAACAGGTGCTTGCCAAGCTCCTATCGCATCTTCATCCCACACGTGATAAACCTTTTTAAACATCCGGAAAGCCTTCCGCAATGTACGGGTAATGAACCCGATATTCTGTAACATTGTGCTCTCCGAGCAAATTTCACGTCCTAAGCTCCAAGAACCATGATGGCTTTGGCGTGGTAAGAAGGGGGTGGGAGGGGGCTGTGTGTGTGTGTGAATCATTCAGTCAAGAACAACAAAAAGAACAAACTCATCGCAAAGCATATCAGCACCTCCAAATCCCGAGCGTCAACAATATACCGAGTCGAATGCGAAAAGGCCAATCAACACAATCCGTCTCCCAATAAATCTAGGCGAACATGCGCTGCGTAAGGCAAGGTAAGCATAAGCACCACCTTAGCGTCGGATCCCAATTTCCCCCGTCCCGCCGTAGTTCTCTCGGTCGAGAAACCAACGCGACCACCAAACACCCGGCCGAGTAAAAGGTGGATGAATCAACTGGGCCTTCCTAAACCTTCCGGCTCCGAGCAAACTCCAGTGTTGTTTGGTCAGCAGACCACGCAATCAATTTCACTGCGCCGAACGTGGCTGGCGCAAGGCCCCCCCCCCCCCCCCAATTCCTTTCGGACTTGAATCCTTCTCGGCCGATAGATCTTACGGAGACTAACACCACTGAGAAAAAAGCCTTTCTCTCGCCCTCAGTAAAGCAGGAGTCTCGGCCGGGTGAGAAGGATGATTTCCAATGGTTTTCCTTTCTCAATAGTAGATAGCTAGTGACTAGAAACGAGAGTGGTATTTGGAGAAATATATAAAGAGCAAGCACATGTCGCGATGTAGAAGTGTCTATCTAGCCTTCCATCACCACCACTAACAACAGTATCATCACCACATCTTCTGAGCCTCAGAGGTACTACAGTCTACCATTCATACTTAACTTACACAACCACGACCGAATCCAACCAACCAAGACCCAACCCCGCCTCTTTTCACAACTCTCAAAAATGCACATCCTCCTCGTCGGCGCAACAGGCCGCAACGGCACCCTCGTCCTCTCCGAAGCCCTCTCCCGAAACCACACAATCACAGCCCTCGTCCGCGATCCAACAACCACCTCTCTACCCCCTCACAAAAACCTCACCCTTGTAAAGGGCTCCCCTCTCTCCCTCCCAAACCTCAAATCCGCGATGCAAACAACAACACCACCAGACGCAATAATAATCACCCTCAACCCCCGCCGCCTAACCGACTCCCCCTTCTCAGCTCTCGACCCAAACACGCCCCCCGCCCTCCTCCACGACTCCGTAGCAAACACCCTACAAGCCATCAAAACCCTAAACCTACCTCGGGTCCCAAAACTCGTCATAAACAGCATGCAAGGCGCCGGCGCGAGCTCCAAGAGCCTCATCTTCCCGCTCCGCGCTCTCTTTAACCACACCAACATGAAGCATACCCTCGACGATCACAACGCCGTGGACGCGCTGTTCAGGGGCAACGGTAACGACAACGACAACGGCGACGCGGCTGGCAAAGACGTGGAATGGGTCTTGGTCAGACCGCCTATGCTGACCGAGGGCGAGGGCCTTCCCGTCAAGGTGTACGACGACGAAGGCAGCGGGGTGTGCTGGATGCCCAAGATCACGAGACAGAGCGTGGCCGGGTTCATGGTTGACGCGGTTGAAAAGGATGATTGGAATCGCAGTGCTCCTGTGATTACGAACTAAGATCAAATTCAGCCAGCGTAGAAGCGAGAGAAGCTGTTGGGTGAATTGAGAGTTCATGTCATTCTGCCTTGACAATGCGAGGGCTCCTTGGTACTTGATGTAGTAGTAATAAGCATGTTGTACAATGCCAACCATGACCTTCTTTTTTATTTCCTCCGCTGCTTGTTGGTATCTTCGATGTAATGTATTTACAGAGTTTCTACTCGTGTGTTCTTCCTGCCCAGTGGGCTGCTCGCATCTCTTTGCTTCCGCTGCTAGAATGTCTGCATAATCATCATTGTCTAGCATCGCATCCTTTTTTACTCACAGAAGTGCTACAAGTAACTGCCAACTGTGTAATTATGACCTGCTCATCCTCGCCGGCAGTCGAGTTGGTATTGTTGTCGTCGGTTGACATGTGATTGGTCGTATGTGTCCAGCAAGGACAAGGGTCGACGGGTCTCTTGGATCGCCATGATGTCCCCGCAAAGGGGGAGTTTCGTACCGCTGCCGCGGTATTTGTCGAGTATTTGTCAACGCAGAATCCCAGCAAAAGAGCTCCAAGCCACAAGGTGTTCGTGGCATGGGCGAATTTTGGGGTGTTCCGGTCTCCCTCGATCATATTCTATCCCTATCCTCAACCCCGCATCATGGTATATTAGGAGGGGCCTGGTATCATCGGATTCCAGTAGTCCAAGTCCCAGTCCGCGTAATCATCCGGAGTCTGCCGACCACGCATCAGCCCAGTCCCATCCGTCCCACAGCACCCAGCCGCCGTAGTCACTTACCGCAGCCGCCGACGCATTTGCATGAAACATGAACGGGGGCCTCGTCTGCATGTAGGGATCCATCGGGTCGGCCGGTTTGGGCAAGGACATCTTTTCGGGGCTAGTATTCGTAGCCGTCTGACAGGCATCGAGCACGCCTTGAAGGCTGCGTCGAATGTCTTGCAGCTTCTGCTCTTGGTTTGTGGATTGCACTGAGGCAAGGACCACGGCGAGCGCGACAATATCCTTAACATCGTTGCCACCAACGTTGCGAACAAGTAGGTTGAGCGTCTTCTCGACCGTCTTGATCAAGCGAGATGGTGACCAGAGCGCAAATGTTTCGGTGCTGAAGGTGACCCCATCATCCATCGGATCCGGAGACATGGCCACGGTAGATGCTATTCCAAATGTGTTCCCGTTGATATGGGATTCGGTCGCTGCCTTGATGTAAAAGCACACGCTAAAGGCCGCCTGCAGAATGTCCTTCTTCAGTACCATGTGATACATGTCGCTAACATCCTGGAAATGACTGAGGAGGGGGTCCAGTTCATCGAGGTATCGCATGATAACCATGGAAGACCGCAAATAGGCCCTCGATATCTGGGATGGAGCGTCTGGCAGACCGAGCGCGAATGGGCGGTATAGGGCCAGCAGAGGCCGTCGGACATGCATGTCGAGAATAACCCTCGACCTCCACTGCTTGCTCTTTTCGACTTCGTTTAGAATACCATGGCGCGGGAACAGGTAGTTGATATCCTCCAAGAACCGGTCGAGCTTCGTCCCAACTTCGATAATTTCGCTGTAATCCCGGATCGAATCCACGCGGTTGATCAGGTGCGCAACCTGCATACGAGCTCCCAACGTCATAGCAGCGTATACCTGCATCTGGTTGTCGGTAAGCTGGTCGATAGGCTTGCTCGGCGGGAGCTCCTTCATGTCAAAGAAAAGATCGCTGTCGTCGAGGTTTCGGGGCGGTCGGCAGGTGAAGTCTCCATCGCGCACGAGGCAGGACAGATTACATGCTAGCGAGAGATGCAGATCCATGTCCAGTATCGTAAACCACAGCCTCCGCCGTAGCTCACCAAAGAACACCGGCACCCGAGGTTCGAATTCCGATGGGTCTCGGTGCATGCCCATAGTCATGGCCATGCGTACGATATAACCTAATTGCGCCCACGAATCCTGCGGCCTCGGCGTGGTCATCCTCTGAGCGTGAACGAGGAGAATCTCGGTCTGCAACGTTGTCAAATCAACCAGCTGTTTGCCCTTCAGACCGTCCAGCCATGACCTGACCAGTGCGCACGCTGTGGGAATATGGACTCCCTCCACGCGCTCATGACCTAGTCCCTTTGACTTGGTCTCAAATCTCGAGCCAATGGACAGCACAGTCAGAAGCTGAGGAAGAAATGTGTCCCCCTGTAATTTCCCTTCCCAGAATAACTCGTGTTGTTCTTTGAAAGTGGGAACATGAATCATCCGGTAAATGGTCTCGGACGTGTCGATGTAAGAAGCCAGTAGCCTGTCACATATCGATTTCTTGGGAAGAATATCCTGCATGCGTTTCTGGACCGGAATGACCGAATCGGCAAAGACGGATATCGGGGATAACGACTTTCGATACTCCTCTTGGATCCTCTTGTGTAGTATCTGCAGCCCGTACATGGTCTCTCGGATACCCTCAATCTTGGACTGGTTTGCCATGAAATCTTTGGCCTCGTCAAACTGGAAGAGTAGGGTTAGGGGTAAGAGTCTCGGAGTGAAAGGGGTTCGGGAATGGTTACCAGGTTCAACAAAACGCGCACACTGTTTTGACCAAAAAATCGAGTCCGTAGGGCGCCTCTCTTGACCGTCAGCCCACGAATTGTTTCCGGCGATAGCGGCAAACGCTGACCAGTTCCGCTGAATTCCGTGCCTGCAGGGCTCCTAATCATGAATTGTTTCTCCAAACGGTCCAATCGTGAAGTGAGTTCGTCCAAAGCAGTGTGACCAGTTGATTCTCCGTTGCGCAAGGGCACAAAAGACGACTCGGCCGTCTGTGGGCCCGATGTCGCGGTTGTGGGCAGGCAATTCCGTTTTGGCGGACGCTGCACTTCGCCCATCTCGGCGTCCGAGCCATCTGAGAGCATTGACGAGTCGTGTTCGGCGGCATACTTGCAGTTGCGATGTGACTTCTGGCACTGCGAGCATGGCAAGTTGCGGTCACATCTCAACTTGCGCTTGCGACATTCGGTGCACGACTTGACGGGACGCGGCCTCTTGACACTACGTGAAGCTGATGCCGCCGCCGCCGCTGCTGCTGCTGCCGCTGCCGCCGCCGAGGTTGATGCTCCGCCGGCAGCAGGTGGTACAGGGGTTCCTGCAGGTGCAGGCGTGGGTCCCGGCGCGCCGGTAGAGAGAGTATGCGGAGATGGTAGAGTTGGTGATGTTTCGTAGGGAGTTGGAGCGTTGTTAGGTATCGAGCCCATGGGAGCAACAGCAGCAAGGTTCGTGTTGGGATGCAGTGTTGTTGTTGTTGTGACTGTGCCCATTTCCGGGGCAGAGGTTGTTGCGGCGGCCATTTGTGCCGTGAGATTGCAAAATTTCTAGAAACCCCCCGTTCGGCACCGGCAAGAATTACCAGCGGGAGCGGGAGATACGGTGAGCGACGAAGCGAGGAAACACAGCGCAACGTAGCACAGGCAAGCACACTTGGCGGCACACCACACACAGCTAAGCAGTGACAGCGGCAGCAGCAACGGCAGTGCCTGACTTCGTGGTCCGAAGCTCGAGGATGTCTCTGGCTGTGTGCAGACTTTGACGCGCGCACGTAGCGGGTGATTTCTGGTAGTGGGAAGAACAACAAATACAGCTGTATCTGTAGATCGACGCGCTGATCAATGTTGTTCTCATTGAAGTTGCCAGGCACGGCTACTGTTGCCTCTGTTCTGGTTCGCGACGCTGGATCTTGAATCTGACTGGTGTCGAGTCATTCGCCGGCCATACATGCTGTGAATGCGGGTGAGAGTGATGGTCGGAGGGGGGTGCGGCGTAGGCGCAAAGCGAAAACGAGCGACGGGAGTAGAGGCAGAAGCTGCAGCAACGTCGATCTTGTTGTTGGAGATAGCGATCTGGTCCGAGTAGCGGCGTGGGCAGTAACAGCGCTGTTGCTCTGCCGTGTCCAACAAAGATGGGGCAGCCGTCTGCCGGACGGGTCGTAGCCGATGTTACTCAAGAAGCGGCCCTGGATCCTTCGCCAATGGAAGAAGATGAAGCTCCAAGAAGAAGATGGGAGTTCGTGAGTGAGGAAGGAAGGGAAAGAGAGGAGAAGGGGGTTAGATGGGATTAGGAAAAAAGAGACCAAATTTGGTAGTTGCAATGAATGAATGATCCAAGCTTCCCCGGGGCGTTGGGGGTGTGTGGTGCAGAGCGGTACGGGTGCCGTGTGGTCCAGTGCCTCGTCCGAGGCAAGGTAAGGTAAGGCAAGGCAAGGCAAGGTATAGAGTAATGTAAGGTAGGGACGGAGAGTGAAGGCGGTACGAAGTAACAAGGTGAGGAAGGGCTTGCTTGGTTTGGCAAGGTATCTTCTTCTAGCCCGGCGGCCTTGGAAGTGAGCCGTGAGACTGGCGCCGTGGCCCTCTCTCTCTCTCTCTCTCTCTCTCTCTCTCTGTCTCTCTCGGGGGAAAAGCTCAAGAGCACCAGGCTGGTTGGTTGTTGATGATTTACTTTGTCTGCCCCCTAGAGGATGGGTACCTGGGAGCAACAATGTGTTGGTTCTCTAGCTGCTACCGCCTCTCGGTCTCCTCAAAGAGAAGTACAGTCGAGGGCAGAAGCCGGGGTTGAGGTGAGTTGAGCGTGTCAAAATCGAGGTCCAGGTCGAGGTGTGAGATGTTCAGAATCCCCAAAGAGAGAAAAAAGTGTCGAACGTGCAGGGACAGAGTGCCCATGTCAGGCCTGGCCTGGTCTGGGCTGGTTCGTGGTGGACGGGACGGGAAGTTTGGAAAGTTGAGTAAGGTAGGCCAGTCGAAAGACGGTCGTGGTGGTGTGTTTAGTGATGATTTGGTGATCCACCCCCCTTCCACGGCCGTCGTTCCAGGCCATTCAATTGGAGAGATTGGAGGTGGGAGGTCGGGTCCAGGTAGGGTAGGGTGAGGGTACGCCGGCATGCGATTCTCCTCAGGTTGAGAGGCATGGAAGCACGGCGAACGCAGGTAACCCGGTATCCGTGTAGGGTGCTGGTATCCAAGAAGGGGGGGTGGGCAAGGTGAAGAAGACTTGCTTGTATCCGTTCCGTGACGGATGGAGTAGCTGGCTGGTGCTGCTGGAGCTGCTGTAGTGGGGGAGACTGGGAGAGACAGCCATGCTCTAGACCCTAAGCTCTTTCTTCTAGTCGGCTCCAAAAGTCTCTCCAACCTCCAAGCCGTCGTCGTCCTTACTGCAAGTAGGTACCTCTTCGCCTCGTAGGCGTATCCGTAGCAGAGATGCTGTCCGACAAACGGCCCAAACAAGGCGAAATTAACAAAGAGAAAGCGCGGTGGGATGCCGATGAACAGAGGGCGTTCGATAGCCGAGAGATACACCCAAGAGCCGCCTGGCCTGTCTCTCCAATCGCAAGCGCCTTGGGGGACTATGGACGGAGTGCGTTGGGCGCAGTCTGGTCGCCACGCAGTGTAAAGCAGGCGTTCCGAGTCCCTGCCTCAAGACACAGATAGACATGGACAAGCCGCCTGAAGCTCAGGATCAGACGCAGTGTACGGAGTATTAGTGTACCTACGGATAGATGGATGATCGAGTCCGTCAGAGGCATGGAAAGGTACCACCGTCCCGACTCCCCAGCAAGTGGGACGCCGATGCAGCGGTCATCGAGACTCTGGGCAGAAAAACACACGTTCGAGAGCAGAAAAAAGGCAGCTGAGACGGAGCACTAGCAGCAGACTGCCACTGGTCGAAAACCCCGGCCATGCGCCAGGCCGCTAGAGACATGTCGCCGGGCTGAGGGGCATCGCTGGGCCTAGAACGAAGCTGGACGATGGATCGGCGTGCCGGGTACCCTTGCCACATTGCTGAAAATCTGTAGCTGGGCATGAGGAAGCCTGGCAGTTATTGCTGCATAGTCATACAGTAAGAATGGGCGGTAGACGGGCAGCTCCATATGATCTCGTCACCTCGTATACTTTTTGGTCGAATTGTGGGAGAGAGAGAGAGAGAGAGAGAGAGAGAGAGAGAGTTGGCTGCTCGGAACAGGGAACGGACGGTCAACGGGCACGGTACGTTGTTGAGGATACGCTTCTTAGCAACCCTGGCGTAAGCGGGTGTCTCTGGTTCTAGCGTGCAATGCAGACATGCAACGACCTGCAAGGTTGCCATCGCATGTGCCCTGATCGGCATGGATAATGGAGAAAGGCTCTGTTTCTTGTCCGTTTCCTTCGAAGCCTGAGCCGAACGGAACTTCGACCATCCTCGCTTACGATTTAGCGCTGAGGTGGAGTCCGGAAAATTTGTTCATTGCTTTTGCGTCGGGAATCTTGATGTCTTGATGTTGCTGCCTTCGGGCGTGTAATTCCAATGAGTGCGTGCGTGGGCGCAAGGGCGGGCGGGCGGAAGAGCCCAACTGTCTAACAGTCTCCGTGCCCAGAAGAACGTGCTTGTGTTGTGTGTGTGTGTGTGTGTGTGTGTCTAGTCTATGTGTCTAGGCATGTGTATATGTCGTGCCGTTGAGCCTGTAGAGTTAATGTGCGATGAGGGAACCAGAGACGGAGCTACGCGAACCTTGTCAAAGATCCCGTGTACTTCCCACGAGCAGTTAACGACCGCTTAAGATGGACGAGACAATACACAGTCAGTGTCGTCGGGAGCTTGCTTGGGTAGCTGTAGTATGTATCGATTCTTGGTTTCCATACCTACATAGATCCGTCAGCAGGACACCACCACGTGTGGCCAGGATGGCCGGTCATGATGAAGCACAAAGCAAGCTAGTCACGCACAGATACACGGTATTATCTTGTGGCGGATAGGCATCCAAAGGTCATAGTCCAAACTCGAGGCACCCCAAATCCCCAACGTGAAGTGTAAAGGAGACGTGAAGGCCAGGTAGCTTTTACCCTGCCCTACCCTCATTGCTTGGCTTGGAGGAAAGAACGGCTTCAAGCGTTCCCGGCCAGAGACACTTCCAAAAATACATGGCATGTCCATGGTGGACTTGTCTCCAGAAACTCAGAGACAACCCACAGTTTCTGGGGCTCAGCGGGTGTCACCAAGCGGCCTCGACTGGACCTAAGCCTGGAATTCCCCTGGTCCGTTTGATCCACTCAAGCTTGCTCTAGCACGAGCTGTCCCGCCGTCCAAATGTGATTGTACAGAAAGCCGGCCGGCCCATTGCAAAACTGCAAATCGTCTTCCAGGGTTGGAGGATGGAAGGCCAAGATGAAGTGGAAGGAGTGGATATGGCATGGCTCGCGGTGGGCCTATTGCATGGTGCCTGTCAAAGATTCCCCCAACAAACATGAGGTAAGGTGGTAAGGTACCCCATCTGTAAGGCCAGTTGTGGAAGCCGATTCGAGGTAAGTGAGCATGAGCCTGTCAAGGTCGAGAGATGCGCAGCCAGTGAAAGCCACGCCTAAAGTATCTTCATTTCCAGGGCCTGGAAAAACTTCGTGTTGGCCACCTTGATCTATTGCAGGAGCGTGATGGGGCCGAGGGACATGCGGCATAATCATTGACGTCCGTTAACAAGAACTGATTGTCGTCTTGGTGGACTCCGCACGTATGTACACGAACAAGCAGCGAAACGCCGTCCTGATGATCGGTATCCGCTGAAAGGAGCTTCAGCCTTTGAGCTCCGACTACCTAAGCTCGAAGGATGCTCAGCTCAATGAAGTCTGGCTGAAAACCAACAATTCCTTGGCTGAACCGTCCGGCCGGGAGCTATCCGTACCGCTTGCGCGATTGTGTTTGGGGCGCCGCAGTGGCGGTTGAGGCGAATGATGTTTTTTGGTTTTGGCGTCGTTGTGGTAAAGTAAGAATCTGCGCCTACCGCGTGCGCGCGCAGCGAACTACGCGATACGGCAATCTGTACTCATACAGCATGCGCTTCGCGGCATCCGTTATCCGATCGTTGCCAGTGCTTGTCCAAATCTCGGAGCCTGCCTAGTCAGTCCGGATCCTTCAAGCATGTCTTGTAATTCCGGACGGTTAGTTGTCATGGGCGTCATAGGTCTCGTGATGGTGGTGGTGGTCGCGCTGATCACTTCAGGCCGCGGAGTGTGGTCCGAAGTCTCTTCCTAGCCTACCGCATTCCCGTTACGTGTGACGGCGCCGGGCCTGAGAGGAAATAAAGTACTAATACGTCCACTTTCCTACCCCGTCTGAGAGTAGAGCAAAGTCTCTCTCACAGACCATTGACAGGTCCAACCTTGGTGCCAACACATCTCGGACTGTGACATGATCCTCACCTAAGCAACTCAATGTGAGCAACGGGCGAGCTAGTCGTCGCCTCGCTGCATCGCACGCTCAGTCACTAAACCCTTCCCTGGATATCTTGCGAGCGCCTCAGGCTCAGGCCTTGTGCCGGGCCGTCCTGCGT